CCCAACCTGAAAAGCAAACGGGCGGCGGCATGAGCTTACAAGAGATTTTGTGCTCTTGCCCAAAGGTCAGGCGACTTCACCCAGACTATACCCCCGACCTGAAAAGCAAACGGGCGGCGGTGTTTGTTCTCAGACTCTATCATAGCCGCCTATGCTTTGTGCATGTTATCCACTGCTTGGCGCATAAGGCCTTCATGCCGATAAACAAATTCCGAAGTAACTGGCGCAGCAGTGGACTGGTTTTCAGGTAATTACTTCTAACAAACCTCCCATGGTCCGAAATACTGGGGCATGAGGTTACGAGAGATTCCGTGCTCTTGCCCAAGTTCAGACGACTTCACCCAGACTATACCCCCAACCTGAAATGCAAACGAGCGGCGGTGTTTGTTCTCAGACTCTATCATAGCTGCCTTTGCTTTGTGCATGTTATCCACTGCTTGGTGCATAAGGCCTTCATACCGATAAGCAAATTCCAAAGTAACAGGCGCAGCAGTGGACTGGTTTTCTGGTAATTACTTCTAACAAGTCTAGAGGCAGTCGAGGTTTGAAAGTTAGCAGCAGACTGTTGCGACTCACCCCTGTAGCGCTGTGCACAGCGTTGTTGTACAGGCTGGCGATGAGAGCATGCTTCTCATCCCAGTCCACCTGATTAGGCTTGATATAGTGACTCAGCAGGTGTTGTACAGCGCGGTTCATCTACTCTGCTTTTTCGTTTGCCTCCGGGTGGTTCCCAGAGGTCATCTGCAGCTGGTTGCCTTGTTCAGCAGCCCTGGGTGCCTTGTTCAGCAGCTGCGGCCTTCCATAACTCACTCGTGAAACGCACATCCCGGTCACTAACAAAAGACATTGGCAGACCAAAGTCTCTGACCCAGTTCTCCTTGAACAGTCTAATAACGTACTCGGTCTTAGCTGTTTCGGGCATTGCAACTAACCTAGCGTACTAACTAAACCTATCCACAATGACGAAGATGTATCTCATACCGCTCTCGCTGGTCACCAGCGTATCCATGGAGTCCATGGGCAGGCTCTCACCGGGCCTTTCTGGAATCTGAAGGGGCTTGAGAAGCCCAAGAGGGGCCTGTATACATGGCTTGTCTCTCTGGCACACCTGACAAGTTTCCACATACAGCTTGGCGTCTTTCATCATGGTGGGCCACCAAAACTGCTGCAACAGGTTAGCTGCTGTCTTCTTGTAGCCAAAATGTCCGGTCGCATTCTGACAGTCCCCTAAAAATAAACTACGCAGATTGGCACACACAAACGTTTATTCCCGGCCTTCTCGAGGAACAGCGGGCCATTGACCAACACTAACTCGTCAGAAGTCACCTTTTCCTTCACCTAGAGTCTGAGTATGATCTCTGGCATGAACGGATCCTCGCGATAGGCTTCCACCAACGACTGAGTAACATCGTCCACAAGCCCAAACTCCGTAATCAGCACCCCAAGGAAGTCTGGTCTACGTGACAACGCATCAGCAACCTTGTTGTACTCCCCTTTAATTGTTCTATGACTTCAATCCAGCGTTTCAAAGCTTCGAAGAGTACCTTAGGGTCTGATGATCAGTCCTCACGCAGAAGAATCGCCCAAGGAGGTAGTGCCTCCAGTGAGTCAGCGCTTTGTAGATAGCATAGAGTTCCTTCTCGTAGGTGGACTTAGCCAACTTCAGAGAGGGCATTTTTTTGGACATGTACTCTACCGGCCTCAACTTCTTCCCCTCCTGCTTCACAAGCACGACACCAATGCCATATTGGCTGGCATCCGTGGTCACAACGAACGGTTTGTCAAGATCAGGAAGTTTCAAGACCTCATGGTGTGTCAGAGAATGCTTCAGATGTATGAAAGCAGCCTCACAGCTGTTTGTTCACTCCCAGGGGGTGTCAAGGCGTGTGAGATCCGACAAGGGCGCTGCCACTATGCTATAGTTCTTCACAAAATTGCGGTAGTAGCCAGTCATCCCCAAGGACCTCACCTCAGTCACAGACTGAGGACGCGGCCAGTCACGAATGCTGGCCACCTTCGCGGCATTGGGCTTCAATCGCTCCGCCGAAATCTCATGACCTAGGTACAAGATCCGAGTGCGGCCAAACTTGCACTTCTCCTGGTTAATCTTGAACTGGTGCTGCCATAGGAGACTCGATACTTTATCTAGATGTGCTACATGTTCCTCGACAGTCCTACTGAAGATAAGTATGTCATCGAGGTACACGATGATGAATTTCTCTAAGTAGTCATGAAAAATCCGGTTCATCGCGCGCTGAAAGGTGCCAGGAGCATTGCAAAGGCCGAAAGGCATCACCACAAACTCGTAAAAACCGTACCTGGTCTGAAAGGCAGTTTTGTGGTGATCCTTGATCCGTATTGCAATCTGATGGTACCCGGATCTATCTTCATGAAGTACCGACACCTTTACACTCGGTCCAATAAGTCATCGATGCGTGGTAGGGGCTCTGCGTTTTCCACAGTGATGGCATTGAGGCCCCTATAGTCAATGCACATCCTCAACGTTCCCCCATTCTTCGGTACGAATAAGACAAGAGATCCATAAGGGGAGACACTCGCATGGACGACCTCCCTCTCAACAACGCCTTTCGGCTCTTCAAATAGGTCCGGGTATTTAGCGACCACTCCCTCTATCTCTGGAGGCATTTTCACCGGCTCACCCTCCGCAGAGACATACACTAAGTACATACCCTCCTCCGGATTTTGCTTATAATAATTATAGAATGTGGCCGCACACATGCACCCATAGGACTCAATCAAACTACTAGCTTTATGTTTACACAATCTGGCAGTCCCTCCACCGGGCAGCGTGTGTTTGACCACTTTTCGGTCCCAGTCAAACTGG